GTGTTGCTTACATCTCGCGGAAACTCACAAGCCCCAATTTTTCGGTGACATGGGTGGCCCGTGGCGGATAAAATATAGGGCAAGAATCCGGATGCCGTTTTTGGTCGACCTTTTTGCGACCCCCAGGGGACATATTAAAGGGGTAACGGGAAATGTTCAGGTTGGACCCTTTGCTTGCTTCCCCTCACCACTCACTGGAGAGCCCCCCATTTGGCCCTTTCTTTTGGAGCCCGTGCAAGCGGAGGCACCGAGGCCAACTAGCTATCGCACCTCTCAGTGAGGCGGGGCGAGCGCAGGTTTCGGCATGTCCATCGATCTCTTCACAGGCGTTTCTTGCTGGTTCGAAAGGGAATCAACAGGGGTTTTGGGACTGAGCAACGTGAGTCAGTGAGAGTTGAGCTTGGGGTCATGCCCTTGCCCGCAAGTTGACTTCGGATGTTGGAGCGCAGCAACCAGGGACCCGTGGCGCTTGCCCGCTGCAAAAGGGCTGCCACGCGAACACGGAGGTCCAACGGCCGTGGTTTGTGGCTACCCGCACCAACAACTCAAGGTTCACAAACAGCGGTGCCAACAGCCCAAAGATTCAGCGATCTAGCCTCAGCCGGGCCCGGCAGGTTTTCTCTGCTGGCCGCGTTTGTTTGTTTGTTTGTTTGTTGGTTGGTTGGTTTGTTTGTTTGTTTGAGGCTTTTTCTTTCATCTTTTTCCGGATCTTTCTGATTTTGTTTGTTTTCAGAGTGTGCCCAGGTTTTTATGCTGGCTCTTTTGCTGGTCTTTTCCGATCTGTTGGTTTTTAGAATGTGACCAGGTCTGTCGTGGTATCTTTCGGTGAGAGCGACGAAAGTTGCAGGTGATCTTCGCCGGACGTGCCTATGGAACACTTGCATGAGCGCCGTGGCAGCGTTGGAAGTTGGTTTCCTCTTCACTGGAGAAGTGTTTCTCTTTTTGTTTTTGCTACCAGTAAAAGAGAGACCTTTTGAAAGGATGTCTATACTAAAATCGACCCAGGTCTTTGTTTCAAAGACTGCAGTGAATGGCCATTGAAAGGGTTTTCCAATTGTTGGGGGGATATGGGCTGAGTTTGCGTGTCCCTTTTTTTGAACATCTCATTCCGGATGTTTTGTGGAAGATCTGTATGAACATCTCATTCCGGAGTGGGTCGGGCTCCGCACGGCTCCGTGTGGAGGTTTCTCATATGGTAAATCCTTGCGATCGGTGCGATAGGTAGGGAATGTGGGAATGACCCCAAGGAAAACCATCCCACTGAGTCACTGCTGGCTTTCCTTTAAGGGAATTTATTTCCGAAGGTTTCATTCCCTGCCCTGAGCAGCAGCAAGCATCCCCTTGTGGTATTTGAGTGACGGCCGAAAGTTCCAGGTGGTGAAGCCGCTTGAGGCAGTGAGCGGTAAGCTGTCGCACCTCGGCTTCCACCGAGGCGATGCGATCGGATTGCTCGGATCTGTTTGGCGACACTGGGGGGTAATGAGATCCATGTAGGTCCTTTTTACCTTGGGATCCCGAATATCAGGTTTGCGGTTGCAAACCATTGCAGAGTTGTTCAGTGACCGCTGAGCTAGAGAGAAAAACACGATCTCGGGGAACCAGCGCAAGCAAAGCTGTCCGAAGCCGGCTGAAACGTGCAAATTACCATTCGCTGGGGCTGGAACATTTGTTTAAGTGCTTGCCAGCTGCGCAAGCAAACGGGCAAATGCGACTTGAGCTGGCAGGTAAGTTTCCTCGTTCTTCCAGTGCAAACGCAAGTTCAAAGAGCTCGCCAGCTTGATTTCGCCAACTGCTTGTGCGAATTCGTGGTTCCTCCCAGCGATTTCCATTCGGCTCCATCAGTGGATAGGAATACATGCCCATTGGATGGTCCCAGATTTTACGCACAGCTTTCGCCTCGGGCGCCACGTTTTTGCGCGGCGAACCCGGTACGAAGCGACGAAGTACGTCTGAGGCAGGCCATCAGGCACTGGATACGGATGCCTCGCGGCATTTGCCATATCCCAAGTCCTGATGTGAGAAGCTTGTTCAACGAAGTCGCCGAGAAATCGGACCAAGGGCCCTGGAGTTTTTCTTATGGGGTCCCTGAAAGGGTCCAAAGGGGCCTCCCCTTTTTGAATAGGCCTCGTGTGAAGACCCTTTTAAGGTTTTCCATTTCTTCGCCCTTGGCAGACTGCAGGCCCTCAGCAGACTGCAGGAGGGGCTTTCGTTCCTTATGCCGGTACCTTCAAGTGGCCTCACGTGCCCCGGTTTTCCTGACCGGGTTCCGGTCTTTGGCGCTCCGTTTCATTTCACGGGGATGTTGAGGAGAAAGGCCTTTCCAACTTGCTAAATGGGCGTGTCATTTGTTGAGGGTACCCACATGCCAAGGGGCCAAGCATTTGGGGCCAACTTGACACTTGAAGGCCGGTGCTGCCATTCCGGCAGGTGAATCAGCAAGGTTGGGATCTGCCCCCCCAGGGTTTGCGCCATCACTTTAAAAGGGAAACCCCTTCAAATGTGGTTGGTGGACATAAATCCCCACCAAGATGTCCGCCAAAGGGTCCCTTGTGAATTTCATACCCGCCTTCACGCGTAAATGGGGAACCCCCCGAATGGTGGTTTTCCCTTGGACTTCCCTTTGAAGCCCCCAAAAAGGGTACCGTCGAAAAACACAAGAAGGCAAAACACCCAAAACCCGCGACAACACAAGCACAATGAAAAAGCAGCGGATCCGCTGGCTTCTTCGCGGAGTCGTCGAGTCGTCGAGCCATCTAGTTCCCATGGCGCTGGCTGAACCCGCGCGGCGCACGCGACCACGCCACGACGCGGATGCCGGTCTGCACATATTCATTGGCGAGCTCAGATTAGAGCGCACGATTCCGGCCATGAAGGTGCCGCACTTGAAGATTGATTGCTTTAGATTGTGGCGAGTCACGACAAACAGTACAGATGCAGGCAAGTGGTTGGCACAAGCATCGTGACGGAGCTGGCAATGTCCTGGCTCTGACATGAGCACGTCTTCGACGCATTTTGACAGCAACCCTGAAGAAACAGCATGCGCACAAGACACCCGACTCACCTTCATTACCAAAAGTAAACATCGGATGAATCTGGTCCAATCAGGGGTGGAACGCGCCTTTTGGTGGGCTCCTCGGATGAGCCTGGTCCTCTTGTAAATCTGAAGATGACAGCAGCCTTCTCCAGCGTTCCAGTGCCTACGCGGAGGCCGAAAGGCCGAACTGGGCGGCTTATTGCAAAGTCACGGGGTCGGAAAACTGAAACGGTGCGCTCGGAAGACATCAGTGAATGACGCATTGCGCAGCGCCAGCATGCGGCATGGGAACGCTAACCGAAGACTGAACAACATACAAAATATTGGACAAACAAATGTTAGCATATGGAGATCAACCACTTTTTGAGAGCGAATTCAGGAAAAGCGACGCGTGGGTGCAGGGATTGCTTTGGTTTCTGTTTTGCACCTCGTTTTGCAGTTCTGTCAGTCGCTGGCAAGCCCGGAAGGGCCGGGAGGGGGGCAGAGCTTGCTTCGGATGCGGCCAGCCGTGATGCAACCCGCTGGGTCCCTGAACTCTTTGGTTCCGGTGGTTTCCCTTTGCACCGCCAGTTAGCTTGTTGTTTTGAGGATGGCACTGAAGAGTGGACCCAGACTTAGTGCCTCTTGGTACCACAACGGTAGCAAGCAGGCCGTGTATGCTCCCTGTTGCCAGTTTGTAAGGCACCCAGACAGAGAGAGGGCTCGCGATGGCTTCGCACGACAACTCTCTATTTCGGTGATGTAGGTTGTCAAATTCTTGGGAAACCCCAGACACCCCCGCCTTTGTTGGTACTCCCTCCCAACGCCACCCTTTCTACGGCTCCTTTGTAACGCAACTGGCCACGTTTCGCCCCGCGTCTTTTTAGATCGCCTTCGGGGAAGGCCATGTCACGCTCGAATTAAAATGTGTTTTGGGCTGGACACATGCCTAGATGGCCGAGGTGCTTGCTTTTTTACATCCTTTGCCCTAGAACCAGGCACAGTTGGGGGAAAACACAGCAACATGCGATTCAGGGCATGAATTTCAATTGGCACCCTTCGGACATCCTACGTCGGGCTCCCTGTTGAAACTCATATCCAGGGAACCTTGATGCAGGAAGCCAATCTTTCGTTTGCCCTATTTAGCGCAGTACTCGTATCTTGATCTGCTGCTGCTTTCGAGCGCCCGTGGGCGAGCCAAAGACGATGCGCTGACCGGCGCATGGAAGAGGTTGCGGTTGAGAGCATGAACGACATTTGATTAGGGATTGGTGGACATCATTTAGGCGGAGGTTCATGTCTGCCAACCACTTTTGAGGTGGTTCCCCATAAACACTCATAGTCTTGACAGTGCAGCTAGTTGCTGAAAACTGGTTGAATCGACCCCATGGCATGTTGAAACGGTGCCGAGAGGCGATCCAAAGGAAGCCGGGGAAGTCCCATTTTGCGAGGGCAACTTGTGTTTCAACTGGACAACTTGAGACCAATCCGATCCCAAATTACTTTTTGTCCTGTTTTCCAGAGACGATCATACACTCACCCCAAAACAAGAAACAAAAAGCAACTCGTCGCATCTGTTGAAATGAACATCGCCTCTGGCGATCTAGAAATTCCTAAGGGAAAGTCAAGGCGGCTTTGAAAGCGCTGCCATGGGCCCCTGGATGGCCATTGGACGGGGTGCGATGCTCAAAACACAATCCCCCTGAAATGATTGGCTTGTTGTTGGTTGTCCCTCAAAGCCCGACCTGAGGGTCCGCCATCGACCGAGAAACTCCGCTTTGGACGCAGATTTATCAACCCGGATTGTTCCCCCAACAGTCGAGTGAAGGATCGCCTCCAACTTTTTGCACTAACCGCCGTTTGTTTTTTGATCAACGTGAACTTACATGCCACTTGACCAAAGTGATGGTCGACGCATCTTCAATCCTGGCTTCGGGAAATTCGCGTTGGCCGATGCAGCCAGGTTCATGTGTCAGGCCCTTTCCGCAGCTTGGCAAAGCCTCGAGCAAGCGCTGCTCGAGCCGAAATAGCTTTGGCGACGGCCATTGAGAGTCCATGGCCACTTATGCGAAGGCGGGCGTGTCGTTGCCGGGGGGGGGGGGAGCAGATGAGCTTTCGATGCCTGTTCCACAGGTTTCTTACAGTCCCAAAGCAAAACTGCATGGCTAGAATACCCATCGGAGGTTTTGTCTTCGGCATCTTCCGTGGCTCTGGTGCGTTTTTCGGATTATTGCCCGAATCCAACGGCGACAGCCAGCGGCTCAAGATGCCAGGGCTCCCAAGTTCCGGGAATTGCTCTCTGTTGGGCTGGGGACACTTCTGTCCATTTTCCCACAGCTGGGGATAGATCGTTTTTCCAAATTCTGGTCGTTTTGTCCAGCACATGGTCATCCCTTGTCAATGTACCTTGGACTGAGAACCTGGAGCAATACTTGATGTTTCTCAGAGAATTAATTTCGAGGTAGGATTGTGCCAAGGAAACACCGGTTGGATGGTTCAGGTCAGGGTCATTCCAACTCATTCCCAGAATCTGAGAACGAGCAAGTAATCTAAGAAGCCAGGAAAATCCAGGGGAAGTTAGCCTACAAACCGGGGTCTTGTGGGGAAAGCGGAAACCGCCCAACCTCCAAACCAATCCACTCATTCCTGGAATCTGAGAACCGGCAACAACATGTCTTTGCCTGTGGGCAAGAGATACGACGCCTTGTAGTATATGTGGGGTATATTTGGGTAGTTTTGAGGCAAATTCAAATTTTGGATGTACATTGGAAGCATTTTGGGGCATGGCGGGAGTTGTGGGCCGGGCACATGCACAAGTTTGTCAGCACTCGAATGGTCAGGTCCCCTCACCTTACACTGCCGGAGCAAATCGTTTTGCAAATCGACCCTTGTTGGCATTATTTGCAATATCCTGGTGAGAGCATGTTTGAGGCAAAATGAGTCTAGATGCTTCTTTTTGGACGATTTGGAGTTGGGGGGACCTTCTGTCAAGCTCGGGTAGGAAAGTGATTGAGAGGAAAGAGACATGTGAGGCAAAAGAGAATAGAAGGGTGGCTGAGAGACAAGGCACGCCATTCCTTTTGCACTCCATTCCTTTTCTCTGCCAACTGAGAATGAAGGGACAGACATGAAACGCATGGAACTGACAGACATGGAGCCTGGCCATATTTGTCTTTCCACTTCCCGAGCTGCGAGCAGCCCCGGATGAACAGAGCTTCTTGGTCCCAATACAACAAAACCTGACATGCACTCCGTCCCTCGAGGAAATCAATGCCCGCTGCTTCTTGTTGCCACTACAATGGGTTACCAAGGGAAACCGCCACGTAACAACCAAAAGCAACTCGTTTTAGTGGCTTGCGTGCGATCCCCGACGTGTCTCTTGTTTGGGCCATTGTTAAGCCGGCCCTAGCTTCACTGTTTGCACGAGTTATTTGCGTTTGATTCTGAGAACGGCCTTGTTTGCACCTTGCATTTTGGAGCAACCCGGTCTTTGTCCATGTGCTGTTGGCTTCTCTACCGTCCCACCATTTATGTCCCTTCTTGAGTCATAGTCTTCCAAGACCCGCCCCTCAGGTTCCATGTGGCAGAGGGTAAGCCTACTTTGGGACACACCCATATGGGTATGTGTCCAAGTAGGGTGACCCAAGAACCGGCGCTTGGTGTTCCTTTTGATTTCCAGCTTACACCCAGCCTAAGCAGGCCCGATCCTCCACAGAGACTCACCAGTCCATCCGAATCGATCGTCAGGATTCTGGAAGCACCACCGCTTCCATGTCCCTGACGCCATCCTGCAGGCCACGGGGCGAGAGAGTTTTTGCTCAAAGGGCTGGAAGCTTTATGGCAACGACCAATCACAATTATAGAAGTGCCCTGATTTTAACACACACAAAATATATATATACATACACATATACACATATATATATATATATATACAAATATATATATATATATATACAAATAAATAAATATATATATATATATATTGTAAACGCTTCGCGTTTGAGGTATATACTGTGCTTCAGTTTGCCTTGAAGTGATGCTATTAAAGTGAGTGAGTCGGCGCCGAAATGCGTGAGCTGGTTTCCAAGCTAGCGGGTGGGCGCATGTCCGCACGATTCCACCTAGCTTCAAAGGGCCAGACCGAGAGCTGCAGAGAGCTACTTAATTGGCATTTGACAAGTTTTAACCGGACTTTGGCCGGTGTCTAGGGGGATTTGACCGGAGTGGTGGAGGGGAGGAAGTTGACCGGTTCCAGCGAGATTTGACCGGAGGGCACGCGACATGGGGTCGGGGGGGTGGGGGGGGTCAAGGGGTCTCACCCCCGCTTCCCGGCCCTGGGGGCCGAGGCGATAATGCTTGTGCGGGTGCACGGGCGCATAGACGACAGACAGTATACTTTATGGTCTTTGCCAGGCTCGGGACTTCAACAAGTTCCACATTCCCCTGTTTCTTTTCTCAACACCTGAAAGCTATGGAATCCGTGCTCTGGGCTGGTTTGAGGATTCGGAGGTTTCCGGGGGCTCCTTTTGGGTTTTGGCTCCGCAGCTTAGGAGCGAACTTGCGGTGGCCTGGGGCCCAAGGACCGAACCGTCCCGCGGGTTCCCGGACAGATTCGGCCACAAATGCATACGTTTATTATACCAGTCGTCCTGTGAATTCCTCAAACGCGAGTCGCTCGTTTCTCCATTCCCTTTGGTGAATCCGGATAGACATCCAACTCAGAGGTTTCTTTTTGGCACTGTGGCCACGACCCACAGGAGCTTTGACCATGAAAAGCCTGTCCATGAAACACGGTATGCGAATTGAGTTGGGTGGCTGACTGGCAGTGGCGTTTTCGAAGATCGTACGAATCCTGCCGTGCATTTTAATGTTTGCTGCCGCTGTATTATTGAGGTTACTCTTAATTGGTACTTGGGAATTTTTGCATGTCTTGGTTTTGGGTTTAACCCCCCGGTTCTTGTAGATAGACGGAGACGAGCTTCCAAGCCACCGATCCAAACCGTGCCCGCGCCCTGCTTTGTTCGGTAGCGAGGCCAAGAAGCCGAGGCAGCCCTCCCACAGGCAGGCGGTTCGGACGGATTTCAGCGGCAGGGGCGCATTTGGCCCACCACCCTCCCCCCCCCCCGACTTGCGCTTCCTTGGGCCTTACGCTTCTCGGCCGCGCCAGGGTGCCAGCCACTGAGATGAGCCTTGGGCAGCAGTCGGGGATTGCACTGACATGAGCGTGTGGCTTTTTTTAAGGCTCGGTTCCCGTTTTGTTTGGGTGGGATTAAAGGATTAAAGGGATGCCAGGAGGACGCCGCGGATTTGGCTGTTTTGGTCCAAGCCCCTACTTTGACACACGCCCGCATGAGGTTCGCGCCCACATGAGGTTCAGTCAAAATGTCTAGTCTATGGTTCACTCGGGGGCATTGGGGCTAAAAGCAGGGGATGAGCCCGAAATGTCCCATGTAGTCTTGGGGAAACAGACAAAACAGATCGCGGCTCACGACGCGTTGCGCCAGGCAAATCGACCTGTGAACCGGTGATCTCAAGTCAAGACATGGGTGTGTGTGTGTGTGTCAAAATAGGTGGACCCCAGAAACCTATTTCTGCACACCAGCCCAAAAAGGCACCATCAAAAAGCGCAAACTCAGATGGTCCTATTCTTTTTGGGTTGAGGCCACACAGGACATCAGAAACCTCCGCAAAAACAAAGACACAAACACAAAACCCTCGTTTCTACCCAGGTTCCGATGTTTTCCCTTCTTGTGGTGGTTCCACCGTGGGTTCAAACGGGGACGCAGCGAGTGTACCCCGCATGGAGCCTAAGGACTGGCAACTTCCGTCGCCGCATGTGCGCCCGTGTTTGACGTGGCGTGGACGCGTGTGGTGGAAAGAAAGGCAATCCTCAAGATCCGTGTCCGGAAAGGGGAAAGGATTGGGGCTTTCTTTCGTGGATTTGGTTGGCCAAGCCTTTCTTTGCACAGCCTCAAACTGGTCCGATTTCAAGTGACCCAGCGGCCCTTGTGCCGCAGCTGAAGGATCACACGGGACATTTTGACAAAGCCCCCGCTCTGGGCCGTTCTCTGGCGCGTGCAGGTATTGCCTTCCCGAGGAGTACGCCCAGGCCGTGACACTGTTTCCATTGCGTTGACGGGATCTGCAACTTGAGGCCCGATGTGGGATTGTCTCAAAAGGGAGCTCTAAATTTGACACTAGATGCGGAGCAAACATAGAGGTGGGTATGTTTTTTGATGGTTTGCCTTTTGGTTTCCCTTTGCCTTTAAGAGGGCCTCAAACACCCACGGCACCTGTTTCTTTGAGCCATTGCCGCCGCGTCGGCTGGTGATATCTGCCGGAAATTGTGGTGGTTCAAGGGGTGTCCCCGCCGGGGCCCATTTGGGCGATTTTGAGAAGCCCTCCAAATTGGCTCAATTGCAGGGACCCATCCTTTGTGCGCCCACGGGCAGATTCCGCAGTTTCTCCTCAGGCGAATGCAACGAGGCGTGGGCAACGTGTCTTTTTGTGTCGGGTCGTTGATGAACTGGGGTATTCAAAAGCCAATCCGCAAGATCCTTCCCTTCAATTCTGAAAGGATTTGACCCGCTTTGTAGCGGGGTTTTGTAGGGATTGTGGATTGGGATTGGCCAACCCTCCATTTTGAACAGCCCAGATTGGTTTTTTGACGACGTGTCTCGACCGACGGCCGACGTTGCCTTGTCAAACGAAGTCCACTTGTTGGCTCCAATTTGAGCTGTTCCTAGTGCAAAGAGTGTATTGAAATGGGAGGGAGCATGCGCACAAGAAGACGCTCTGCCGATTGGCATGCAAAAACCACCAAAACCGCAATTCATCCAGGAATCTCCTTTTGGAGACCCCACTTCTTGGGTAATTTGCAGGAAGAACGTCATCATACCACATCAAAAATGTCGCCGACCATTGACCTAGACACTCGGGCCAGATGCGCATGCCAAGTCATTTGTTGCAGTTGGGTATGTGTCGACATAGGACCTCCCCCCGCAAAAAAAGGAAATAGAGAAGAAATTATGGTTTTCCTTTGGGTTTTCCTTAAACCCAACTTAAAACGGGCAGACTGAAAAACAAACCCGAACCCAGTTTCTGTCCTGCTTGCAAACGTGGTTGTATGCAACGCCGAAATCAAGTAAGTATCTAATCTTTTACTCACATTTCCATTTCTACTTGCTGTACTTCAGCCCCGTCTTTCTTTTGTTTTTCACTTGCTTGCGATGCTTCGTCTTCCCTGCTGGACATGCGCACAACCACTCTTGCGCCAACCGAGACAGGACATGGGAGTTTTCCTTTGATCGGCAATGTTTGGGTGTTTTGAAGCCAAACGAAAGACAACCTGGATCGCCAATTGAAATCGTTTTGTTTTTTTCTCCCCCATCAACTGTGACCGATTTTGGGCAAAGTGTCTGTCTGGAAAAAGGCAGCAACGTGGCTATCTACGAATGCCATGCTCCCATTGTTCAAGATTGAAGCCTCTTCAAAGCAATCTGATCCTTGTTCACTCCCATGATTGGATAGCAAACTCGTCCACTTTCACGATTCCACGATTCTTGGACAGAGAAGGTGTGTCTCAAAATAGCCGGCCCTCCAACAAACGGTCGGCTTCCTTTTGGTTTGCTTTTGAAGCCACTCCCAAACAGATAAGACAAACCTGTTTCGGGGTCGAGGTCGCTGGGACGAACTCTGCCCGGGGAAAGGGCTGGTTCTTGAACAGAGCGATGGCTGAGCAGAATGGAAAGGAGTCTCCTAGAAGTGCGGCTTGGGATCCTTCAATCATGGATTCTTCCTCAAACTTCATCAACGCATACATCGAGCAAAGCATTGCGTACGTGCCACCCTCTGAAACGGCTGGCAAAGGTGGTTGTTCTTTGGCCAACATGTGGCTGTGGGTCAAACCCAATGGTCCCATTTTGGGGTAGGTGCACCACCCATTTTAGTCTGTTGTAGTGGGGATTGGGATGTGCACTGCGGGTACGGGACTTGACCCATGGCCATGTACCCTTTAAGGAACCCCGTGCCAACCATACTCAACCACACAGGGATCCGGAGCGTCCCAAGCTGAGTCCTCCGGAGCCAGGGACTCCAGCGGTCAGCTTAGGGGAAAAATGGGGGGGGGGGGGTGAGGCGGCTGAGGCTGGCCACATTGGGCTGTCCCCACTGAATTCTGGAGACTGGGGGACTAAAACGCGCAAAACGCGCACTACCAGGGTCCCCTGCTCTGGAATTCTGATGTCCTACAACTTGTTCCCTATGAAAAGTCGCTGATGCTTTTTCGCATCTGTGATGCTTATTCACAATTTGAGAGCCGTTGAGGGCACGGGGATGTGAAAACTCGTGGTGAACGCATGGAGGTTCCTGGGTTCATGGGCTTCGAGTGCCCGATTTGACCTGAGCTTCGGCACAGTGCTCCACTTTTTTCCCTTCTGGTCAGCTTAAATGTCGCCTTGGCAAAGAAAGCGATCTTGGCTACTCTGCCAGTGACCCAAAAGTGGGACACCAATTTACAAGGGTCCAACAAGGCCGGTTTTCCTCTTGGTTTTCCTTTAAACCAGCTCTCTACACCATGGCCTCAGGCGAAGAGCTCCGTGCGCGCGATGAATTCATGCAGGCCGGTTCCAATGACAAACGGGGTTCTGATATGACTGTGGTTCTCCGCTTTTGAGGGTACTTCCTTTTGGGTTTTAACGGGAAACCGCAAGGACACCAACCTTTTTGGAGGTCCCCAACTGTGGGACAAATCCATATATCCTTGGACCAACAACACCGCCCAACATGGGAGATTGCAATCTGTTGAGGGTGGTTTGAAGGTCCCAGTCTCGCTTGGACTGGTTCAAAGAGTGCCTTTGGATGGAGGCAAGTGAGAGTGTTTACAGGGGACGCACAAGGAACTCTGTCTCAACAATCCGTTCGCTTGAATTCGAAGGTTGTCTGCAAACACGTTATTCATGGCACTTGGTTCAATCTGATAAACCAACCCATACTGATGGTTGCGAGAGGGAGTCTGTTTCTCTTTTTTTGAAAATATTGTTTTTCCTTTGTTCAATGATGGACAAACCCTGCTTCGCACCAGTCCGGATAGATGGAATCAACCACCAATCCCCACCAATCCCAACTGGTGGGCTTTGTCTATGGCTTGCCGTTTCCAGCAGTTCGGCGAGGTGAGGATCGAGGGCTTCGTGCAGAAGCGCGTGCTTGGCATGTGGTGGACACCCTTCTGGCGAAGACCTCAGAGATCTGCAAGCTCTGAAAGAGCGCGCGCGCGCAGGCAAAGGCAAGTGAGAAGGTTGCAGTTTGGCCGATGGTGATGGCATGCTGAACTTTTCAGCTGTGGTTTCAGCTGTTTCGTTTTCGCATCTTCGGCTGTTTTCGTCCTTTTGAGGCCCTAAATGGGTAGGTCCTGGGTCCCCCACTCGGTGGTTTGGATTGGCCGAACCCCGGGTTCTCGCTGCATTCGGACCCCAAGCGCTGCCAAGGGCTGTCCTTGACCAGTCAGCCCTTCGGTTCTACAAGAACGAGCAGGTGCCGATTTGTGTGAGCGAAGCCAGAGATGTGGGCTGCGTTAAAGCTGGTTTCTCGAATGTGGGTATGGGTCAAAATTAAGCCGCCAGAGGACCGAAGGTTTTAGTCCTTACTTACCAGGGTTCAATTTTGGGTCACCCATGTGACCAAGGGATTCCCCATGTGAGAAATTCGCGCTGAAGCCACAGGGACCGCTGTTGGAGCCACTCACTCAGAAAAGAGGGTTTGGTTTCCAAGGAATCAACAGGCACAACACCATGTGGCAAAATAAAGGGCACCCCCAAAAGGAATTGTGGTTTTCCTTTTGGCTTCCCTTTAAACTCACATAGAAAGGGTACCAACTCCAAAACCAACACACACACACAGACAGCCACACACACACACCCATAGAAAAAACTCTTTTCAGGGGTCGGATTCTTCGCGGCCTCGGTCGCGGTATCTCCGGGCTGACACCACCCGGGACGGGACCCCGGCTCAGTGTTCAACTCCGCTTGTCAGCGGGAGCCCCCAGTTGCCCCACGGTCACAACCATCCCAAGTTAGTTGGACACTCGAGTTGGGGCTGAGGCCCTCTTTCTGGGTCCCCCTGTTTTTGGCCTTCCTGCGGGAGGCATCAACCATTCCGGCGATTTGCTGGTTGCCAGGCCTCGATTTCCAGGCCCGAGGAACCGGAGGAGCTTGTGGCAGCGAGCACAGCAAAAAGAAGACTGGCTTCGTCACTCTCTCTCTCTCTCTCTCTCTCTCTCTCTCTCTCTCTCTCCATCCCTCCCGCTCTCCCTCCCTTCCTTGTTAAATTCATCTACACAATGCACATCAAGCAAGTAGTGCACCATGTAAATTGACAGCTCTCTCTCTTTCTCTCTCTCTCTCTCTCTTTGTGGAGAGCCACTTTTTTGGTTGGCTTGCCAGAAAGGAAAGCCACCCCCATGAGTGTTTCTCAAATTGGCGGGAAGACGACCAACTTGGTTGGAGTGGGGAAGCCAAAGGCCACCTGCCGTTTAAAGACGTGAGAACCCGCACGTGTGAAGTGTGATGTGGAGAATGCTTTGAACTTCCCTACGGCTACATTTTTTTAATGGGTAAAGCCCTCCCAAATGGTAAGCGGACACGAACCCCGCCCAAGAAGGAAGTCCACCAAAGGGTCCTCAACCAAGCACCATACCCACAGAAGCATACCAAAGCGAAGACAGCTAGGATTGCTCAACAGGTGAGTTCCGTTGCTCAGCCGTGCTCGCTGAGGCCCTCCCGCTCAGAGCAGAGCTTTCTATGTGCCGCAGCAGCAAGATGGCGGCCACAGCAGCTCCAGAGACGGGGCTCTTCGCCTCTTATGAAGTTTGGTCAAGATAGCTGGGTGTCTATGGAGATGCGCCCAAAAATTCACAAAAACTAGGGACTGAATCATATTCCCATGTCCTTTAGGTAACCGTAATTTTGACAGCTCACACACACACACACATTGACATGTATGTATGTTTAGCTTGCAGACTGACATGGATTTTGCAAGCCTTGCATCCTTCCACGTTTGTTTCCGCTCAGGGACAACCTCACGTGGGTGGTTTGCCGTGACGCTCGGACCCGGCGCAAGGCTGGGCAGATTTACTGAAATTTCTGAGCTCAAAGCCCACGCAACATCCTTGGCCGAATTAAGTCTGGTTCGTCAGCCCCCATTTGAGGCGTCGCTGAGGGAGGCGAGTCCTCGCGGGTTTTGGCTGACCATCTCAGGGTGGTTCAAAGGGAAAAGGAACACCTAAGCCTTGAGTGGCAGGTGATGTACATTCGCAGCGGGACTGGGCCTTAACCTACGTGCCCAGACTTGGACCTGTGCTCTTAGGCCCCTAGTTTGCCAGGGTTCCTATATTTTCACTTTAAGCCAGTTTAAACTTAAAGCATCACTTGGACCAGTGGCTGAGTTTCCTCTTGAGCTCAATTTGTCATCCTTTCCGAGGTCCGAGCCGGCTTGTTGGGAAGATGTGGCGACTGCTCGTCTGTGGTGCTGGGCTCAGGTAGAAAGTCTGGTCCGCGCACCTAGGGGGGTTTCGATCAGTCAAAGGTTTCACAGCCCATACGTCTCCAGGGCAGACAGTCGCGAATCGTCTTTCCCCATCAACTGTGACGGTAAATCGGTTGGAAAAAAAGCAAACGGAGCAAGGGGAGAGGCGAACATGGGGGGAAGGCTTATCGTGACAAGGTCCACTTCGCAGGCGGTAGGTCGTTAATCCCAGTCTTCAGAGGGGCTTTCATTTATGTCAGCAGGGGTTTCAAGTAACCCCTGATTGTGGGTTTGGATTGGTGGTTTGAACCCCTAGTTCTTGTAGAGGGCACAAACCACCGATTGGAGGAAGCTGAGTGTTTGCATCCATCCACAGACCTTTTCCGGGATCGAAGCGTCCTCAGCGCCGGTGAGGCACTGGGCGCTCAACGAGACCCACAGAAGCGAGCCCGAAAGCGAGCGCCGTGGGGATTTTCTACGAGAGTTCGGGCGGGCTGGTTCCCAGCTTCCAGGGAACCTTCCCTCAGAATTCGTCTTTGCGTGGTTTTTGCGAGGGTACCCTCTGTATGTATAGAGGTTCCCCTAGAGACAGCCCCGCATGTTCTCAGGGCCCGTTAGGGCTCCGATGCCCTCCGGCTCTTCCAAGTCGAAGCACAGCTTCTCAAAAGCGGGCAACCTAACATGGGCAGCTTCGTTTTGGTTTCCCTTTGACCAACCAGAAAAGGTTCCTCCATTTTGAGAAACCTTGGACACGAAACACGCAACTTTTTCCAAGGCGTCCTTGCAGGCGCAGGTGCCCTCTCACCAGCAGTGGACGCGGATTTGTGGATTTTGTTTTTTGTGGTGGGGCCTTCCCAGAAAGGAAACTCTTCGTCTTTCAAAACTTTCCGATCAGCTTTTCTTCAACTGTGGGTAACCACATCAGATGCTTGCCGCATGAAACAAATGACAGCTCACTAAAGGGTGCAGAGCTGGGTGTGTCTTCAGCTCCTGCGGTGGGCTTCCCTGTTTTCCACCTTTGTCGCCTGCCGCCAAAGGTAACCACAAGCATTGAGCATGGCTTTGGGATTCCGTGGGGGGCCAATGGGCGGATGCAGGCGCCGAGTCTGCACGCTCTTCCCAGTGAGGCGGAATGGCCAGCTCGCGTCAAATCGCCGGTGAGCAGATGGGGCTGTGTTTTGTGAGGGTAGCCTTGGGTTGTTTGAAGGACAGCGTTTGAGGACAATCACCACTTTTGGGGTCGGTTGGAATCATCGGGGTTGGAACGAACCCAGGGATCTATGAACAGGAAGCCACCAGTTGGTCCCGAAAGTCCCCCGCTCAGCAAGAATATGTGATGCTTGCAGTCTGTTGGAGCTTCCACCTGACCTGGTTTCATACGCTTTGTCAAAAGGCTTTCTGTAACTTAGCTGAGGGTTGGTCACGGTATCTGGTAGTATGTGCTGAATGGAGGGACATTGCCGCGCTCACTAGAGTTCCCACAGGCAGGATCTGGACACACTCATGTCCCCGCATATTCTGACCGTGGCTTAGGGCGAACAGCACAGATCAATTTCGGCTTAAGTCTGTTGGAGGATACGCCGCTAGGGGCTTTCAAGGGAGAGCGGTACCTCCTGGGAGTTTTTTTCAAGGCAATAATTTCCAACGAGACTTGCATGTGAACTTGGTTCTAGTCATTTTGCAACTCTGCTTGAAAAATACTGCATCCACTTTGATACTCCGCTTTAACAATACTGAGCCTTTCCACTTAGTGAACTGCTCCTTTCAGTTGGAGAACTGCACTTCAGGAGGTTTTGTTCATGTTCTGAATGAATATTTAACAAGGACGGGATTCTAGCAGAATGTCTAGCTTTAATTAGATTGCAGTGATTCCAGCACTGTCAAAATTATATTTATTTAGGTTCTAATAAAAGGGTCGAAAGGATCCTCCTGGGACAGGAAATCACCTTTAAAGTCTGCTTTGAAATACGCATTCTACCCAAAACCTAATTGAACTCCATGTAAAGAAAGACATGTTATTCAAAATGCTGCGTTATGGTTCGCGGGTGTGGTAGCACCATGATGCTATCAACATCAACATGAGGATGCAGAATTTGATGATGCTGCCTTCACCATCACCACGATGCTGTCCGCATCATCATGGTGCTGTTGAACTCATCAGGACGTCGTCTCTGCCTGTTTTCTGCCCGATGTGTAGCGCGGAATTGTCCGTGGCTGGTTTATCAGCATGATGCGGTCAACATCATCATGATGCTGTCAACATCAGCATGGTGCCGCGGGAACCATTTTGATGCTGCGTCATGGTTCGTAGCCATGGTATGCTGTTTGGGGTCTATTCTGACCCCAAAAAGTCCCCAAGAAACAAATTCTGCATAGCCCAGACCACAAATAGAAGACTGAGACTATCGAAAACCGGGAAAACACTGTGAAGCGCTTTTTTACAGCACCAACAACACAGGATACCTGAATCAACCAAGGGGACACCAAAGTGTTTGGTGATTCTTGCCGTTTCTGCAACTCTTGTGGGAATGTCGTCAAAACAGGTTGCGCCCCTAAATTGGATCTCGGGAACACCTTCGGTTTCCCATCCTGAAGAAACACGGCGGTTTCGCATTTGCCTTGTGCAGGGTGGGCTTCCAGTGAGCACAGGCCTTCCTGACCGGGAAGGCTTGGGCAAAGTTTGTGACCTTACTGCCTTCCTTTGAAAGGGAAGCCAAAAGGGAGGCTGTCTAAGCAAGCAATAGCGGTTTAAACATGAAAGGGGTTGGACGGTTGGTCGCCTTTTCGAATCTAGGCTGGTTTTCGGCACTGCCCCCTTTTGGGGTCATTTCGAAAGGGAAGGCGTGCATTTCGAGTTTGCCCGGCACCCAACGCGCCGTTCAAACTTTCACAGGACCATCAGCCAGGCGCTGCATGGATTTGTTGCGCCAGGCGTCACAAAATTACTCGGGTTTTCGGTCACCGGAAGCTTGGAACATCAGTTAGTCACCTAACAAAGAGGGTAAAAGCCTGGGCGGAGAATCCAGAGGTTCTCTTCCTTTTGCGCTGTTGCCCGTCGTGGAGCGAGGGGAGGATCGAAAACCCAACACCTTCCAGTGGGAGGCGACCTTACGAAGCCCGTTGGCCTTCGATACAATTCGGTAGATGCCCGAAAGATGGAACAAGAGAACCCCCTGTAATCATTGCCAGACTCAACGAAACCACTTTAACGTCGCCATCTTGGTTTTCAATCATTTTGTCCCTTTTTCACCAACGACAACTAAGCCTTTTGCCGGGGCACCAGTAACGTTGCCATGGTTTTGTCTGTTTGGATGTGGTTTACTTGCACGGGCATTCACCGTCGCGGCCTGGTGCCACAATGGCAGCCTTCGGCCGCGCGTGACAAGAGGTCACGTGTTCTCTCACGCGTTCCTGCGCCTCTGTGCCCAGTTTCTGCCCTTCCGCACCGGGAGGTCTTGGCTATGGTCAATTTCAAAAGTGCGTCTCAAGGCAGGTGGACGTGTCTCAAAACCGTGGTTATCCTTTTCCCTTTCAAATAGCCCAGGGGTATCCTAACAACGGGATACAGGGCTTTGAAAGCACAAGTTTGCAGCGGACCGCCTCTCGGCTCGGCGGCTCGATAGGCCCGGAAAAACGATCCATGCAATCAGCCACTGCCTTCAGCGTGTTTCTTTTAAAAAAAGGCTGGGATTCTGCAACTGACAGGGCTCCCCCCAAAAAAGATAAAATAAAGAAATGGCGCTGACTTACCCGCGACACTTCGAGTTCTTGCTGGCCTTTTGAACCCAGAAAGGACTGAAGGATCGCTCGGTCGAGATGCGCTTAGCTTCTCGCGCATTGCAATGTATTTCCCACCAAGGCCGGCGTTGCCTTGGGGAGTTGCTCGAGATGGCATTCGGACCCCCTGTTGGCATTAAAAGGGAAACTAAACGGACACCAACCTTTTTTGGGTTGCTCTATTTTGAAGAAACACCCATGTGGTTCCTAGCATCCACGAGCAGCAGCTGGTTTTGGCCTGTACTGATAGCCCTTGCTACGGTCTTATTTGATATTGTTTGGGTTGAACATGGTACATGTCAAATCAGGGCCCCCCAATTCCAGGACACACGCTTCTTGATTTGAGACCACTGAGAGCATCGAACGCTTTTTTCTGACCCCACGACACAGAATTGCACGGTGCACCGTACAGATTCATGCTGCTTGAATCTCTGTGGCATAGTCACGATATCAATTTGGGAGGGACATCCGGGGACGCGCCATGTTCAGCCACAAACACCGAGGGGACTCACACATTTCTCCATGCTGCTTTTGGGGATCACATTGCCATATTTTAACCGTGGTCCATTTGCGCACCAATAGTAGATAGTAGCCCATCAGAAATGGTAGATGTCACCAAGAGAAATACCAGGTGTATTTCCAGCGTCCGCTGTTTCTGTGTACACTCCCACAAATCCGGATCCTGCGGATTGTTAAGTAGGGAATTGGCATCCGCATTTCACATGCATGCTTGGTTCGGTGCGGCCACAGGCCGCCTTAGGGACCAACAAGGGCCTCTAATTACAATTTGACAACCTACTTCAAGGAGCGGGTGTTTTTGCTTAGCCCTGGTTGGGGCTTAACCCTGGTTGGTTGGTTGCTTGGTTGCTTGGTTACATATCAGGGCCAGTAAAAGAAGACCCACCCCCTACTTCAAACCTTGGGCTAGAAAATTCTAAGCTTTTGATATGGCATTTCGACAGCCCCGAGATGCTCCCATTCCGTGCCTTTGGATGGAGGATTCTGCAGAGTAAAGCAGCTGCGCAACATCACAATCAAACCCGGGTAAGAGAGGTAGGGAGTAGGGAGTCCTCATCAATCCCAATGCCATCCAATTCTGCCCTCTTGATGTAGGGTGCCGTTTCACTTGCTGGTTCTCAGCAAAATTCATTTGAACTTTGGGACTGAACCTGACTCCCAAGGAAACTGGCAGTTGTTGAGTTCTGGGTGATTCCCTCATTCCCTGACAATCAACACCTGGATAGTTGAAGGTTAGTAGGGGACAGTAGGTGCAGCCCTCTTGATTCTTTACACTTTGGGGCAATGCCATCAAACCCGTCGAACCCCCAACAAAATTCGGTTTCTTGTACGCACGATCCCAAAACAACCGAGACTCGACTTCTCCTCTGGGCTTCACCACGCTTCGCGAGAGGTGCCAACGCTGCGCCCCCGCTGGGGGCGGAGCGGGTCGGCGCCGGCATCGGTCGCATGTGCAACTTGGCCGGGCCACCCATCCCGCGCCTTGTGGGTCTCGGGGGTGTTCGGGGGTGTTTCGGGGGTGTGGGACAGCTGAGCCATGTCCGAAAAGTCCAAACATTGGGTGCGTGAGTGTGTGTTTTTGAGGTCTTGGCGCCCTTTGACGGTTTGATGAAAGGTGAAACCAAGAGGAGGCCTCGACTTGTTGGCCCAAATCCCTATTCTGACACCAGCCTTCAACAGGGGCACAGCTAAGGGGAGGTTTGGAAGAATGAAGGAGGTTGAGGGGCTCCTTGTGAGTTCGACCAAATTCGGGGGGGGGTCCATCTCGCATGACACAAGCAAAACCAATTCGGGTAGTTGAAATGGTTTACGCCTTTTGCTTGGTACTGAGGTCTTCGAGCGAGGTCTTGGTAGCTGGATCTTCACCAGCGACGGGGAGAAGTATTTGGACTTCTCCACAGGCACTTCCGGAAGTGGGGTAGTTTACTTTTTTTGGTTGGTTGGTTGGTTGGTTGGTTGGTTTGTTGGTTGAATGGTTGGTTGGTTGGTTGGTTGGCTGGCTGGTTGGTTGGTGGGTTGGTGGGTTGGTGGGTGGGTGGGTTGGTTGGTTGGTTGGTTGGTTGGTGGGTTGGTGGGTTGGTGGGTTGGTGGGTGTGGGTTGGTGGGTTGGTGGGTTGGTGGATTGGTGGGTTGGTGGGTTGGTGGGTTGGTGGGTTGGTGGGTTGGTGGGTTGGTGGGGGTTGGTGGGTTGGTGGGTGCGCTGGGGGTTGGTTGGGGTTGGGTTGGTGGGTTGGTGGGTTGGTGGGTTGGTGGGTTGGTGGGTTGGTGGGTTGGTGGGTTGGTGGGTTGGTGGGTTGGTTGGTTGGTGGGTTGGTGGGTTGGTGGGTTGGTGGGTTGGTGGGTTGGTGGGTTGGTGGGTGGGTGGGTTGGTGGGTTGGTGGGTTGGTGGGTTGGTGGGTTGGTGGGTGGGTGGGTGGGTTGGTGGGTTGGTGGGTGGGTTGGTTGGTTGGTTGGTTGGTTGGTTGGTTGGTTGGTTGGTTGGTTGGTTGGTTGGTTGGTTAGTTTTGTTTGCTTGGTTGCTTGGTTTTGGGGCAGATTCCCTTTTGAGTTGATACCCCTTTGGTTGGTTGTCTTGAAAGGACACCCAGTTGGGCTCTTCCAATTTTCGCAGCCATCATTGGTTCCACACATCAGCTGTTTCCCTCGGTTTTCTTCCCCCAACAGCTGAAAGCCTGGGATGTTCGGTTTCGCCCAAAGAAGCTCCGGTGTGCTTCGGAGCGGCTCTGGCCTGGGCGTGACAGGGCTTGAAGACCTCGACGCGTGCGATGGAGGATTCATCCCCCCTGAAAGGCACCCATGGCCTGGCTGTGTAAACAAATGTTGCGCTTAGTTCAAATGCTGGGGGTGAACTCTTTTCCGTTCCTTCACCGTTCTTTCCTGTTTTTGAGTTACAAGTACCCCTCCTTTTGGCTGGTCGTTAAGGCAAGCCTAAACGAAATGGTTTGCAACCAGGACGCCCCGGGAGTGCACTTGTTTGCCCACTTTTTTGGGTTGGGGCCGCTTTCCCCAAAATCTCGAGAACGCCCCAGATTGCACGCCCCGCACTACACCACCCTTGAATTTGCAGGCAGCAATACAGGAGTACACCCACCATGCTCCCCGCACCAGGCCCCTCTTGGGTCTGCAATCTTGTAAGTTTAGTTTTCTCAAGGTTTTTTGCAGTTTGGGGTAGAAAGCTCAACAAAGACTCGAGAAAACCACAAAGACATCAAAACAAGATTGCACACCCCGTATTCCCCCACCAGGCCCCCGTTTTCAAGGCCCGTTGGGTCTGCAATCTTGCGTTTTTTTTGGTTTTGGGGAAGAACACAGAGAACCTTCAGAACACCCAACAAACAAAAAACAAGATTCGCACTGACACACCTCGTGCTCCCCTCCCAGGCTCCTCGTGGGTCTGCAATCTGTTTTTCTCAAGGTTGTTTGCATCTTTTGGAACAATAGTTCCTTTGCGGAGGATTTTGGTGAGACAATGTTTTGAATTTGTTTCTATGTATGATTGTAGTTAAAGCGTAATTAGACTTTAAACGGAACTTAACAAGACGGTCTTGTTGGTTTCTTCCAATTTGCCTGCCCCGTAAGAAGAGTGAACAGCCAATACACACCTACGGAACATGCAATTTGAGTTCTATTGGGATGTGACTAGGAGCTCGTTTCCATGTATATTTGTATAATTGAACCGTAATTAGTCAGGAGTCAAAAAGAGTTTGATGACGACATAATTCAAACAGATTCTGTGTGTTACAGGAACAGAACCGAAGTTACATTATCCATGAGTTTCTATTGAGCGTCCACTCTGTTTAAGGGACAGGCCATTTTGAAGAAACAACATTGTTTGCTCCATTTGAGATCTAGATAGACTTCAATTCAGACCATGTTGGGAAAGGAATGTCAACTCAAGCTTTAACTTAAGATAGACATTCTACTTAAATTGTTTCTTAGCTAAATTCGAGAGTCATGAAAGAGCCTTCCATGATAGGGGGCTACCGTATGTGTACGGTGGGGTGCGCGTACAGTGCGCGATGCGTGCGTACAGTTGGCGCGCGGCGCGCGTACGGTGCGCGTACGGCGCGCGTACGTTGCGCGTACGGTGCGCGTACGGTGCGCGTACGGTGCGCGCAGTGTGTGCGCGGTGCACGTGCGACGCGCGTGCGGTGTGCGCGCGGTGCGCGCACGGCGCGCGCGATGCCGCATCCGGTGCGGCGGGCGCGCAGTGTGGTCCACTTCGGTCTAGCACACTCAGACTTTGCGGCGAAAGTGTGTGTGTGCCGAGAAGTTTTGTTTTTTCCACACCTGATTTGTTTGTCCAAATATGATGTGTTTTTCGAAGTCGGTTGTGCGTTTTCACGCGCAGCTGCGCACGCAACCACTTGCATATGAAGTAAACATCGCACGTGTACATTCAGTGTATGAACTATAATTTGATAAAATGATCGCGATTGATTGACATATATCATGAGGCACATGTTTCTGCTCACATGCTGGTCAGCTGGCATCAGGCCCAGCAAAAACAAGCAGAGCTTGCGCACCGCAAGACCAGGCCACACAGATCTCATCTCTTTTTCAGCCCAGCCGCAACTCAGACTCAACCTTGGCTTTTTCTGGAGTGGTCTGCCAAAAGACATGTAGTTTGTCACAGGGCCGGCCGCGCATACTGTACTACTTACTACTAATCTTGCCTGAGATGAGTGTTGATGAGAGTTTCTCAAGCGCCAAGCACGCAAACAGCCAGGAGATCATCTCGAGTGTCATGTTCCTGTAGCCTTGGCTGCTGTGGGAAAATGGGCATAAACTCATAAAACAAAACATGACAGAACAAATCACAACGCTAACAAAGATAACGAACGACCCTAGTACCGGATTGGGATCATCGAGTGCAAAAACAATAAAAGTCCATTGTTTCCTGAGGGACTATGACCCTTTGGACCAAGTTTTAAGCGACGAACGACGGAACCGTCAAAACAATGAACATGGACAAGCAACTCTTTCACCAAAGCGTCCAGATCTTGCGTAGGATGGTTCAATCACGCTAGCAATGAAGATGCTCAAGCGCGGGCTGGTCTCAAATCTCGCAGGGGAGACAAATTGAAGGCAAGGTTGCGTTTGACAGCTTTTTGGGAGCTGTTGAATGAAGGTGAGGTGAAGCTGCAATTAATGAGCTAAGTAGGAATTGTAGCCAATGTGTCTCAAAGTTTTGAAGTCTCTGTAGATTCAACGTTAGCGGTTGTTGTGTAGTTACAGTATCCGCACACCCCTCCTTCAAAAAGAAAGGGCGGTTGCTTCATTAATTCGCTTCATTAACTGTCCAGCTCAGACTCAAAATTCAGCGTTATGTGTTTGCTGCCAGCGATGAGTCCGGCGTAGATGTAGGGCCCGGGCTCGTATCGTCATTACTGTACTTCACTCTCCATCCAGAATAGCTTTTACCTGCGCCGCTGGCTCTTATGGATCTTAATGGTAAGGGATTTCTTGATGGCTGAGCAGACCTTCCGAGCGCATTGCTGGAAGCGGGCTTCTTTTTATGTTGTTTGGCCCCCAAGCACGTAGGGCTAAACAAGCGTCGAGAATGAAGTAGGTCAAATTTGGCAACGTTGGCAAGACACTGAACGGAAGCAGGCTATCGCCAAACAAGCATGATGCCCAAGAAAAGGTCCTATGATCTTGAGTGCAAATTTCGCAACCTCACATCAGGTCTTCCCCAGCATCACTTGTGTTTTGGTCCAGGGAATGCTTGCGCTGGTGGTGTTGAGGATGGTGCTGCTGCGTTCCTGTTATGTCCACATACATACATATATGCATGTAGATCGGAATCATAAGTGACGCAGCGCAAACTGTCCTTTGGGCCTTTGGAATTCGATTCCTTCTAGGCCACCGTAGACTAGAGTAGGTCCCTCAGCATCACCAATGCTTTAGCAAAGGAAACGATTTGTTGTTTACTTACAGCGGTCATCACTTTGAGCATCATCACCAGTGTTTTTTAATCAAGAAAACGATTTCAACACATTGCGCGGGATACTCAGCTGGAATACTCGACAGACACAGCCGCCCGAACTTCGCTAGTCTCAATTTGTTTCTTTAGTTTTGTTTCTACAATTCAAATGTCATGTTTGGATTTGCTGGTGACGCTGGCGACGCAAAGGGGCAACATTTTGAGAGCGTTTTGTCCCAGACGCTAATGGTGTCTGACATTCCCAGCGCCTGTCCGCTTCTTGAGAGTTGATGTTGCAGTGATCCGCAGACTAGAGTGCATCAACAGATCTTTAAGAAAGATACCGGTTTATTGTTTGCTTGAAGTGGTCATGACCACCAATATCACCGGCGTTTAGCTAAGAAACAACCCGATAAGCCCCTTGCGGATTCAGCTTAGACGTTTCACAAGCTTCAGGCTTAAGTACCCATGCGTTTACACATACACATGCCTTTGGCGTGGGGTCGGCAGCCCTGAAAATCATCAATCCCATCTATGTTGTGGACCAGTGTGAATCGGACCAGTATGAAGTTCGGGTCTCCAGATTCTAGAGTAGAGTGATTCGTTATAGGTCCTGCAATCTGAAAAGTCTACTGAAAAGAAAGATTCAAGCAACCGTCGCCATGGTTGTCAAGTGTCAAAGCCTACATACTATATTTTGATGTCCGGGGACCAGTTTCCAGCCAGGTCCGTCATCTGATTTCTGAGAAGCGTCCAAAACCTTTTTTTGGAACCCCAACGCCTGCATCTGGAGCAGCTCTTGCCCTTAAGTGTATGCTTGTGGAAAACCGGCGCGTCCTCACATTGGAGTCAATGAGTGTGGGTATTGCTTGTTACTGAGAAAGCAAAGCAAACCCAATGACCTGAAGCTGGGTTCAAAAGCATCAGCAGCTGAACGCGCTGGCTGCGCAACAGACACGAGTCTCACGCGCGCCA